GATTTAAAGGATGATAATAGAAGCAAACCAAAATTAGTTTTTATTCAATAGGCATCTCTTTTTATGCTAGATTTTATGGAATTTGTACACTTGGAACCTTTAATGTGGTTGAAATTACTTGTCTCATCTTGATAAGTGTTTCTCATGCTGTGCTGAGATAGATCAAAAGCAATTCACACGTGGCAATATATCAGCATGCTAAGTGGGCTGTCTCTGCTTTTAAAATAAAAATTAAAGTTGATAATATGGGTTTTGGATTCACATTTAGGCAGATTACTGAGCATTACTAGCTCTGCCAGCTACTGGGTGTGACAGGATAACCCTTAATTCCTTTAGTAGTCTCAGCTCTTTTCTTTCTTCTTTTTCCCTTTTTATCTCTTGCTTTCTTGGTAAAATGAAGATATTTTCTACTTCTCAGAATTTTGACAAAGATTAAATAAAGCAGCATATACAAAATTCCTAAAAAGTATAGATACTTGATAAATGAGTGTTTCTTTCCTTCCCCTGATATTTTGGAAACAGCTATATTGAATAATTGTTAATTAAAAGTACATTTTCATTGTATGCTGAAGATATATGTTTCTTGTTCAAAGTTGATGCTGGACACTTTTTTTTTAAGAGAAAAAAGAAAGGAAGAAAAAGAAAAGAAAGAAAAAGAGAAAGAAAGAAAAAAAGAATAAAAGAGTAAAAAGGAAGAGAAAGAGGGAGAGAGAACGGGAATCTTGCTCTATTGCCCAGCCTAGAATGCAGTCTAAAAATGGGTTTTAAAAACCTCTTTTATGCCAATAAATGTGCTTAACAATGGAGACAGGAAGGAATAAGGGAGGAAAATAACAAGCAGCCAACCAATATTTCATTTAAACCTGTGAAATGCTATGCAATTGCTGAGGAGTGATTTACTTCCAATTTTGTGATCACTATTAGAATAGGTGTGATGTGATACTGAGAAAAATGTATGTTTTGTGGATTTAGGGGTGGAGAGTTCTGTAAATGTTTATTAAGTTTACTTATTTCAGGTCTGAGTTCAAGTCCTGGATATCCTTGTTAATTTTCTGTCCTATTGATCTGTCTAATATTGACAACGTAGTGTTCAAGTCTCCCACTATTATCATATGGGAGTCTAAGTCTCTTTGTAAGTCTTTAAGAACTTGCCTTATGTATCTGGGTGCTCCTATATTGGATATATATAATTATTATCGCTTCTTGTTGCATTGATCCTTTTACCATTATATAATGTCCTTCTTTGTCTCTTTTGGTCTTCATTGCTTTAAAGTCTATTTTATCAGAGACAAGAATTGCAACTCCTGCTTTTTGGTTTTTTCTCTCCATTTGGTTGGTAAATCTTCCTCCATCCCTTTGTTTTGAGTCTTTGTGTATCCTTGCATGTGAGTTGGGTCTGGTGCAGCATACTGATGGGTTTTGGCTTTTTATCCAATTTGCCTGTCTGTGTCTTTTGATTGGGGCATTTAGTCCATTTAAATTTAGGATTGATATCGATATATATGAGTTTAATACTGCCATTTAATGCTGGCTGGCTGTTTTGCCTGTTAGTTGATGTAAATTCTTCATTATGGTGATGCTCTTTACCTTTTGATGTGTTTTTGGAATGGCTGATACTAGTTGTTCTTTTCTATGTGTAAAGCTCTTGTAAAGCAGGCCTGGTGGTGATGAAATCTCTGAGTACCTGCTTGTTCATGAAACATTTTATTTTTCCTTCACTTATGAAGCTTAGTTTGGCTGGATATGAAATTCTGGGTTGAAAGTTCTTTTCTTTAAGGATGTTGAATATTGGCCCCTACTCTCTTCTGGCTTGTAGGGTTTCTGCTGAGAGATCTGCTGTGAGTCTGATGGGCTTCCATTTGTGGGTAACCTGACCTTTTTCTCTGGCTGCCCTTAGTATTTTCTCCTTCATTTCAACCCTGGTAAATCTGAGAATTATGTGCCTTGCAGTTGCTCTTCTTGAGGAATATCTTTGTGGTGTTCTCTGTATTACCTGGAGTTGAGTATTGTCCTTCCTTGCTAGGTTGGGGAAGTTTTCCTGGATAATATCTTGAAGAATATTTTCCAGCTTGGAATCTCCATTCTCTTTGTCACATTCAGGTATACCTATCAAACATAGATTAGGTCTTTTCACATAGTCCCATATTTCTTGTAGACTTTGCTCATTCCTTTGTAGCCTTTTTTCTCTAACCTTGTCCTCTCATTTTATTTTATTAAGTTGGTCTGACATCCTTTCTTCTGCTTGATCAATTTGACTGTTAAAACTTGTGCATACTTTGCGAAGTCCTTGTATTGTGTTTTTTGGCTCTATTAATTTACTTATATTCCTCTCAAAATTGTCTATTCTCGTTAGCATTTTGTCAAACCTTTTTTCAAGGTTCTTAGTTTCTTTGCATTGGGTTAGAACATGTTCTTTTAGCTAACAGAAGTTTCTTCTTATCCACCTTCTGAAGCCTGATTCTGTCAATTCATCACACTCATTCTCCATCAGGCCTTGTTCCATTGCTGATGAGAAGCTGTGATCCCCTGTAGGAGGAGAGAGACTCTGATTTCGGGTATTTTCAGCCTTTTTGCACTGGTTTCTTCCCATCTTTGTGAATGTACCCACCTGTCGTCTTTGTAATTGCTGACTTTCAGACTGGGTCTCTGAGTAGACATCCAGCTTATTGGTGATGAAGTTTTTTCTGTTTCTTAGTTTTCCTTCAGTGGACGCCCCTCCCCCACAAAGCTGGACCTTCCTGGGTTTAGTTGTGCTCGCTGTGAAACTCTCAATCTTCAGCACCTCCAATTGCTGTTTTTTTGTGTGGACACTGTGCCGGCTGAAACAGCGGCATTTAGATTCGTGGCGCTTTTCTGCCTGGGAATCTCCCAGTTTGGCTACCCGCTTCAGTCCTCCCTTTAATCAGCTGAATGGGTGACTCTGCCCTCCTGGAGCGCCAAACACCAACTAAAAGGGCACCCAGTCCCACTTACTCTGCACTGAGAACCACTGTGCTGGCCAAAAGAGTCACGCTGGTGACTCGTGGGGCTCCTCCGCTGTGAATCTCCTGGTCCGTGAGCAACAAAAATTCGTCTGGAAGTGTGGCATCCACTCACTCTCTGTGCTTTCACTGGGAACTACAATCCTGAGCTGCTGCTAATCAGCCATCTTGGATCTCTCTCCTGATGCTGGACACTTTCAATCTGACAGTAGCAACTTTAATAATGATTATTAAGATATGTTAATCAGCTTGCTTGAATGTACAATGTATACGCAGATAAAAAAAATCACATTGTATTTCATCAATATATACAATTATTATATGTCATATAAAATATATTAATAAAGTATAATAATTATTAAAACTAAGGTAAAAATTACAAGATTATTATTTCACTTATGAGTATTGACACAAAAATATAAAATTTTTGCTTGATATTCTTTATTCATATTGAGAGATGATTTTGCTCAATATTCACTAAAATAAAAATACTGTATAATGATAATATTAATGCAAATTAATAGTGGAATGAATCTGCCTTTTATATTTTTTAACCCAAAAAAGATAATGAATCTCCATTTTAATATGTAAATTTTCTGAAAAATAGCTCAGAAATTATCTTCACTTTGATTTCAATTATTTGAGCTTCAACAACTGAAATACACGCAAAGCCCCTATTATGGTGAGTAAGTTAATGATGTGCTGCCAAAAAATATGATTTTTCATGAATGATGAACAATATATCCGTGGCAGCTCAGATAATCCAATAAGGGCTACCAGATTGCAACATTGACAGTATACCAAGTTTTAAAATTAGAATTAAGAGAAACTAGTTTGTCAGTCATTAAATATCTTTAACCAAGGATTGATGGAAAATAAGGAGGAACAAATATAACCCAAATTGATGAAAGTGCTATTTGTTCTTTTACAGTTCTTCCTCACTGGATGTCCTATCTTTATCGTGATGGGTATTTAAGGATCATAAAATTGTTTTATGTAAATTGAAAAATGAACTTCATATCCATAAATTTGTATAAACATAAGTATTGGTTTTAATTTTAACAGATGTTTTTGGCACATAGTATAGTAGTATTGACTTTTTTCACTTTTGTCTTTTGAAAAAAATAGAATTCTTTTCTTTTATAGAAATAATGCCATTGTATGATTAGTTTCTCGAGTAAAATTAGCCTTTCTTCTTACAAAGAACTCCTGCAATAATTTCTTATAAAACTCAAATTACTTTAAAAGTTATTTAATGAAAGAAATGAGATTTGTGAAAACATTTTAAAGCATTTTGAAGATTATTCTGTAAGACATTGTCTTCATTTTGCATAAATTCCAGATTACTTTCAGAAAGAAACATTACTCTCTCAACCACACTTTACTTGCAGTCTATAGTTACTCACAAATCTATCCTTCACCTCCATGCATGCCAATTTCAGCGTCCCAAAAAAGTAGTTATATTTAAAAAGTGAAGTGCATATCAATGCTTTGGAGCTTGAGTTCTTTTTATGGAAACAATGACCTCTAAGTTACGAGGTTAGCTTGCCAACATCTATCTAGCCAACCCTACACAGCAAGAAGGTAAACTCATGAGGCTATTGGACCTTCTCCAAAAGCAGAATTACAGAATGACAGAATGTATGGAAAGGGAGATTGTTGGGGTAACAAGTGGCACAGGTGATTGGATGGAAGTCAGATTAGGTAAAACACCAGACACAGTAGTGACAGCTAAAAGTTACCAAAATTTACTGTCTCCTGGAACTACTTATTAGAGATGTATGTATTTTGTGTATATTAAATATCTGATCATTACAAAATTCCTATGAAGTAGATGGCATTATCATGTCTATTTACCAAATGAAGAAATAGAGTACTTAAGTGACTTTCCCAGGATCACACATCTGTAAAGTGATGGGACTAGAATTCAAACTGTGAGAATCTGGTGCAAAACTTTATGCTGTTAGCCACAACATGCCTAATAATGCCTCTTTGCATTATGGCAAGCATCATACTCACATTTTGTTCTGTCTCTCATTCCCTTAGGGCCAAAAGCATGATGATTTGTAACATATCTGTAGTTTTCCAAGAGATCAGCAACTCCCTACTTGTCCTCCAAACTTAGAGCAGGTTTTCTTCACACAGGAATGGGGAACAAATTCCTTTCATGCCAATTTCTGTGTAGCTCAGCTGGTAAAGTCAACTGATATATATCAGTCATATATCAACTGTTAAATTCAACTGATACATATCAGTTATATATCAACTGTTAAATTCAACTGATATATATCCATTATATATCAACTGTTAAAGTCAACTGATACATAGATGTATATATATAAATATATATATACCTTAACATATATACACACATGTAAGTTGCATTTATACATGTGTACATATATATACACACACACACACACACACACACATATATATATATATATGAAAAGTCAGTAAAAATAGCCACTATTACTTGGTGTTTACTGTTTACTATAGGTAAGACATCTGATTTAAGAGGATAACCTCATTTAACCCTCCTAATCAGCCTGGTCAAAACAATTTCATAAATATCTGTGTCTTGTATTGGGTTATTCTTCCAATCACTTTAATCAATTACAAGTCTTTGCAATCCAAAAGGTGCTGTTTCAGATTTTTAAAGTCAGGATTATATGTTGTATGTGACATAGCTCCTGCCTTCAAGGAGCTTACATTATAGTTGTAAACATGAAACTTAAAAACAAATATTTATTAAGTAGAAGATAAGTTTTATAAGGATATATGCACAGTATAAGTTACAAGGTTTTTATTAAATGGAGGCAGTATTGTCATTTAGAAATACAAAGTAAAGGATCATAGAGATGGTGGAATTTGTCCTGACCTGTAAATAATTTTGAAAAGGATTTGAGAGACTGTGTAGTATCCAAGATATCTAGTTTTAGAAATGTATCTAATTAATTTGAGCAGGAGAGAAACTTGTTGAAATATGTTAATATTAAGAAGCTCATGACATTTCTGGGAGGGCTAGGGAATCATCTCCAAGACGATACAGACAGACGTAAGACTCTAAATCATGCTTTGAGCATAAGCCTTGTTTATGTCACTATACTGCTCTCACCACAATGTTGGCAATGTTTTCTTCCAGCAACTATCTGTGATACCAGAAAAAATTTTTCTTGGTTCATCCTTTTTGGATTGTTATCCACAGATGAAAAGGGTAGAGTTTATCATGAGTGTCTATATTCCTGCTGCAAAGGAGAAATGCATATGGTATCTTTCTCCTATGGAACAGGAAGAAAACTGAGCCTCTTGTAAAGATTCCTGGGAGTTTGGATGCTTAATGATCCAGAGGGGCCACATTTGATAGAGGTGAAAGGGATGTGGAAGAGCATTTCCTGAAAAGTGAAAGGCATTAAGAAAGAATCCAGATAAAGATGCATGCTTGATGATCAGATAAATGAGCACCATGTGGTGTTTCTAGAGCTCAAGGCTGTGGAAGCGCTGGTGGGACAGGGAGAAACCAGAAAAGAAAACCAGATTCTCACTAGGTCTGATTCTATACCATGCTAAATATCAAGTTAAGGACTTCATGATGTTTTTTGTTCTGTTAGTAATGTAAAGCCATTGAAGTAGGTTTAGTGCAAGGAAGTCATTAAACACACAAGTATTATTGCTCTTTTACCAATAGACTTTGCTCCAATTAATTTGATACTTGATTTTTCTTGAAAGTAATTTTTCAGTAGAATTTGCTTTGTAAAATGCTTTATTCTTTGAATTTCTAACAATATAATACAAAGATTTCATATTCTACCAATATGATTTTAATTTTGAATAATACATGAGAGAAAATACAATACAAAAGATAAACATTTTCATATCCCATGAGTCATGTGATTTTAAAGTCCTCATGGTAAGTGACATTTCAGAGAGTTTGGCTGGTCTGAGTATTAGCATATTCCCCTAAAAAGAAGTAACAACCACTATAAGATGCATAGTATTCATGGTTTTATTGGTTTCTTGGAAAGAACATTGGCCATTTTCTGTTTTTTTCTTTTTTCTTTGTTCCCCTCATCCCTTTAATGTGATATTTTACTCTCCTGCTAAACTGTAGTTTATTTCTCATTAAAAATCCATTCTTGATTAGTTTACTTGTATTAATTTCTTTAAAAATGATTTTAGAATGAGATCTTCACTGGAAGGCATATCTTAGATTAATAAAAAAGAAATGAGAGAGCACCATAAGAATGGAGAAAGAAGAAATATGAAAAGCCTGGTTTATCCGACTAAGCTTCCCATTGACTTCACTTTCTTGAACTTAAAGCAAAAAGAAAATCACAGGAAGAGACATAAAAACTAGGAGGGTCATAGTTTTTAAAAGACTTTTTCTTAAAGTACTAACTTTCAATAAAATTTTCAATTGTGTAGCTTCATGTGGGGCATATTGAGTGATATAAAGGATAATCTCATCCTCATTTAAATGCAGAAGCAAATTTCACAGAGCTAAACTTTTAAAATTAGGTTACTGAGGTATCCAGAATCAACAACTTCTAGTCACTAAAAACAAGATTAGTTGTGGTAAGATCATACATGTATCATGATGCAATTTTTAAACATTTGTTAGAAAACGCAAATGTGGGTGAGAGAAAATGTGTTGTAGAATGTCCACTATAGGCAAAATTTGAGATTTTTTCATATATATCATTTATTCCTTTCTTATGCTAGTAGTTACATAGCTGTGCTATAATGAAGAATTTTGACTAATAAGAAAACCATCATTCATTAATACATGATAGTTATTCTGTTGATCATGGAAGAAGGAAAAATGTTTTTATTGTAGAAAAAAGATAATTTTTAAACTATATCTTAGAATTTTTTTTCTGCATTATTTTCTATCCCCTCAAGAAAATTATGATTTATTTTGGTTCCTTAGCACATGTAGCAGGCATTTGTTTGCTAAATAAATGGCTACATCTTAATGGTCTTTAAAACATGCTTTTAAGTTTGGGTATGAGATACATTTTCTCTTCTCATTGCTTCATCAGAACTAACAAAGTTTTAAAGTTTCTATAAAACAAAGTTCTAAATGTGTTTTCCTGAAATTATCAATAAGAACCTTTCACATTGACCATAACTGCCTCATTTGATTTCCCTAGTCAAATTGAATGTATTTTAAGTTGCTAGATTATAGAGTTCCTCAAGTACTATTACATTTTACTATAGTGTGGTAAAATAAGCAAAGAAAAACATGGAAATACTAACTTGGCTCTGGCATGTGTGTGTGTGTGTGTGTGTGTGTGTGTAAATCTCACCACATTGAAACCTGGTTAAGAAACAAAGCCTGTGTTGTTTACCACCTCTTAAGTACTAAGGACTATCTTACACATAAAAGCCTCTCAGAGTTTGTACATTTACTAGAGCCTGAGGCCCTTCAGTGACACATGCTTTGAATATGCAACTAATTCTGCCCATCCCAGTAAAACAGAATCATTTTAATCATTTTATGTGTTCACTTGGACTGACAATCATGAAGATCACCAAAGGTTGGAGCTTAAGAAATGTTATCAGCAGTTTATTTTTATGTTTGCTGTATTACCCTAAATATTCTTTCTTTTATACTGAAAATTTGTTATTTCAGAATTATTAGTTGTTTGTGTGTGTATCATTACATAAAATACATATATAAGTATTATATTTAACATACATAATATATAAATATGTATTATATATGTATCTCTAACAATATATATACATATATATAATATATAATACATATAAATACAGCATAAGATATAATCTATTATATACATATCATAGAAGATTAACATATAATTAATTATAGTATATATAAATATATTAAATAACATGTGTATTATACATGTATTATATATACATATGTATATGTATGTGTGATCCCAAGATAAAATTAGAATCCCAGAATAAAATTGGTGATTATAACAGATAACAGATGGGAACTTGTATAGTCTCTGTAGGCATACTCCAGTGCTGCCTCCACCCAAAGAGTTAATTTTAACAAGAGCTTGAGGTTTCAGCAGCCAGGATTCAGGAGAAGGAGCTGAGGGCATTCCAGGCAGGAATTTTGTTATGTGGCAAGAAGCTCTACTATCCAGTTAGTGATGAGAAGGTGATAAGAAATAAATATCTGTTAGGGAATGTCCAGGAGCAGGTTGAAAGGGACAAAAATTAACCCAGGATGAGTCTGGTGTCAGGACCATGTTGTCAGAGGGAATATCATTAAGGATTGTGACTTCTGAAGTCAGAAGTGAAGTTTCTACAAAGGCTGAGAGGCAAGATAGACGGATTAGAGCTTTGAATATGCAGCTCTCCAAGCCTGTCTTTCCTGCTCTCAAAGTGGCCTGACCCCAAAGGCCCTAATCGGAAGATCCATGCCAGGCACCTGGGAAGCAGATAATTTATGAGGGAAGACTGCAATTTTAAAACATTCTGTTCTCTGAATTCCCTCTTAGAGGATGACTGCTGGTTGCTTCATTGGTGGTAGAGATGGAGTTGTTTTCAGCATCAAGGCTTCCTCTACTTTCAAGTGATCATTAGCTTAACAGTGTTCCTTGAGGTAGGCATCATCTTTTCCAAAAATAAAAGAGTTTAAACTGTTTCAGACGAACATTTTAATAGATTGCAATTATTCAGTAACATAGAAGATTATAAATTTCAGGAACATGAAATATTTTCTCACTGAAATTGCCATCAGTGTAATAATTTGGACCTATAGATCGTCCTAGAAATTGTATGCCTGGCTTACCTGTAATTACTTCTGGGGTAACTTGGAAGCATTTCATAGTCTTATCAACAATCTTATAGGCTACGTCAACTGTGCCACATGTACTGAATTCCTCTGCAAGCACAGCTTCCACTGATGTAATGATCAGCATGAGTGAGCTGCTCTGTCTACCATGGCGGGCGGCCCAGCTAAAACCTAGAAAAGTATAGTTGGGAAGAGCAGTGCAGTGAGTCGAGAGGAGGCTGCATGAGGATTTCCTGGAACTACATTATGAGATAATGCCACATCACCACTTTCAGCCACCACTGAACCTGCAGCAGAGACTGTTACATGCTCTTTTTCTTGTACTGTTGAAAGAAATGAAAGACTGTTTTATAGACCTTAGATCTCTTAAAAATTTTATGTGAATAAGTTCCTTCCTTAAAAAATAATTCTTATTTTCCAGATGAGAAGC